GGACGGCTAGCGCAGATAGCCCTCGTGTAGCTTTGAACGAAATTCAAAACAAACAAACAAATTTGATAAATCTCTAATATGGTAAATTTTATTAATTCATATTAAAAATGTTATAGTTGTTTTAAAACGAATTTTAGTGAAATAGATTACATTATTTACATTCCTGCTATTGAAATATAATGAAATTTTTAAGAGTAGCTTTACTAACCTGCATGTTCCTCCATTATAGCATATGACCGATTCTGCTTCAGGACCACATTTTGGTGAATATTGGCATTCGTCTCCGTAGTATTCTTGCAAACATTGACACTGGTAGGAAGAGAAATCCGCAGAAGCAAGACAGTTGCCATTGAAAGTGCAGTGGTTGTTAATACAAGGATCTGCATGATATTCATTCTTGGTGATCATCTCGTAAGTGATGTTAAATCCGTAAACATCGAGAAAAAGATCAATAACCCGCAAATGTATGTTACCTTGTTCTATAACCGTAAAATCTAGCACTAGAATAGTCTTGTTCGTTACTAAATGGTTAAGATGCGAGTCGAAGCTAAAAATACCTAAATCTGTCTTGCCCATGTAATGAGACTCATCTTCAAAGTAAGCGTATTCGGTAGCACGAAGTCCTTCTCGCATATAGAACTGTGTAAAATAGATGGCTATCATTTGGTTCCCCGGTGCTTCGATCTTCCATTTACAACTAATTGGAATTGGGTAAGCATTAGGAAAGTTTGGTGTAAAAATAATGCCTTTTGGATCGTGTAATGTTCCTCCACAGTTTGTAAAAATCGTTGATTCTTCACTTACGACAGCAAGGAACGTTTTTGATAAAACGAAATACACAAAAAAGGCTAAACAGTGGTCTACTGTATACCTTAATCCAGAAGGGTAGTGATATGAAGAAGCTCGAACCATTATCTTCCACGGCATAATCAAAGGTTTATTGAAGATGATTTTTGATAAAGTTTTGAAAGTTCCCATGTAAAATTTCTTAATACAGAGAGTTAGCTCTAGGAGTCAGGCTTATATTCTTTAGTTTGACGTATTGAGCAATCTGTGTTTGTGTGTTTTCAAGACGTCGCCTATCAAGATACTACAACAATTTCATTCCGATGACGTAGATAAGTAATGATTTCCACTCCACTTTCTTGTAGTTCTTCACGTGCATGAGGCAAGTTTGGGCTGAATGTGAAATGCAAAAGAAATAATAATAATCTATCTATATATATATATATATAGA